AGAAGGAGATGTGCTAGAGACTTCAAATTTTCAGGGTATCTTAAGGTTCACTCCTAGAAAACGAAACGCCTACGGCAAATCCTGGCAACCAACCTTAAGGGGCTGAAAGGGGGTATCAAAGAAAAGGGGGTAGGTCAAAAAAGTCAGAAAAAAATTGTTTTTTTATGAGCTCCTAATTAAGGTAATAACCATTAAACTATTGTTATTGCATATGTACAACAATGTTCAAAAATTAATTCACATTTAAATTTTTCAGACTCAAATATGGCGGGGTACGGAGATATACCTCCCATCTGGTGAGCTGACTATTAGCCGCATGAGGTCAAGAAGCAGCCGAAAAGCCTGTTCTTAACTCTGTTGCACCTTGCCCTTCCTGATGATATTTTGATTGAGGACGGATTCAGTGCTACCGGTTCAAGGTACTGTGCTGGGCCCCCAGATGATTTGTTGCCAGCATTGTCATGTAAGTGTGTCTTACAGTAGCGTGACTTTAAAAATATTATGTAGAGAAAGTACACTGATTGGAATGTATGTGGATATTGCAGTGTACATTGGAGGCGTGCTCCTGACCGCTTTGGGAGATATTAACACCATTGACTTCAACCCCGTGATAATTCTGACGACTCTCTTAGGAAACACGCGGAAGAAGTATGGAAAGTTTGTGGACAGGGGGGAATTGCCTAAGGTGGCAGGCACTCTTGCAGAAACTCCACAAATTACACAAAATGCAAATTCATCATTCACTGACCATTAAATTGACACTTCATATACTCTTAACACGCCATGCTCCAACATACCAACATATCTCAACTACCAATTTCCCAATTACCCAATTAATACTGACACACACATGCAGACCACATCTTTACCTTTATACACAGAGGATCACATGTATGCTGGTCCAGCGCCACCGATAGCAGAAGCTGTTCCAAACTTCCTCTCAAATTTATATTCTGAAGTTCAAGAAACTTTGGAGGTTGAAACTGAGAGCAGGGTGTGTTGATGTAATATTTAAAAAAATACTAT